CCAAACGCCAGGCAGGGACCAACAAGTACCATATTTTAACGTCTTTTGGTATGACGCGGTCGGGGATCGAACTCGCGACCTTCCGCTCTCCGGGCGGACGCTCTAACCACTACACCACGGAGGCGGTCCACCCATGTTTAGTATGTATAGAGAGAGACAGTGTTAAAAAACTATTTACACCTACATTAACTATTTACAAAATGGTCCTTCATGAAAGGTGATACCGTCCTCTGCGTTGGAAAGGTGCGAGAAATGATTATTGGGCAATGGAGCATGGAGGCTGGCTTTTATGCGCACTAAATCACTTTCCATGTTGTGTGAACAGGATGTGTCAGTTTTATATGTTGCTGATGAGGTAACACTACAACCGAGATACATAGATGAGTTGTTTTGTAGAGTGTGGGTTGTAGAATTCAATGAAAAACACAAAAACATTATAAAAACAACAACCCCAGTGTCAGTGTTTTACGTCAAGATTGTACATCTGTGACATTCTAGCAAGTCAAATAGCAAATAGTTACATATCTATGTTTCATTATAAATGGGATATTTTGATTTTGAACGATTTGTTGCATTTTCATGTGGTTTGGGGCAACGCCATACTAACTATATACAACGCTGCTCCATACACACTCATTCACTGCCGGTCATCGTATTGCCCCGTGCTTTGTAACACAAAATATTGCTTTGTGGCCCATGTGTTAGGAAAGGGCGCAAAGCCAACCATTACCCCACAAGGTAATAGCAAGTGGGGTACTTTAACGCAGTGATGAATAGGGGTCATGGAGGTTTAACAAATGAGATTTGATATATATTGTACTCGTTAAATGTTTGGTAGAGGGTAAGTACGTATTTCTGGCCGGGATGTTCTGCATTAAGTATTTCCACATCAGTACGCACCTGTTGCTTGTACGAGTATATTTGTAATTTCCAGCTATTGCACTTGTACAATAAATGCGACAAAACTCCCTCCATAACCTATGAAAATATCTCGTACAGCAGAGTTCACTTTAAGATTTTGCTCATTTTATTAACGTGTTTATGTAAAGCGTTTTATCGATGTTTACCTGTACATAATTCAGTGCATTCAGTACATTCAGTACATTCAGTACATAATTTAATAAGGTTGATTTATATATGTACTAAAAATTACACAACATAAGGCGCCATATGGCAATGTTTAATTACACGTCTTGCACGTGAGGCATCACAAATATCAGCATCTAAGTTGAAACGAAGCTGTCTCAGTGACTATATATACTAAGCAGCAAAAGAAACGTCAGTTTGGAATTTTCCTTCGCATAAACGTATAACAGTAAACTCATTTAATGGTTTGATTGTTTATTTTTGACAACATCTCCAACTTTACCTGACATTCCTTCATAAACTAAGAATTGAACCCAGGAAATGGTCTCAAAAACGCAACCTGACTTCGGAGATGGTACGGTGTTCTCCATGTGTTTCATGCAACTCATGCTGCACGTGCTGTTCACAAGGACCGGCCCTATAAAATGCACCCCAACCTGGTAGAAACATTCGCCAGGCGCGTAGCAAGCCATTTTTCTCGTGTAAGCCCGATAGGTTGCAAAGCTTTATATTTAGATAGTATTGAGGGCTTGCCCAACCTTTTTAGCAAAAATCACGTGTCAGCCCGGGCTTTTTTTTATAATGGTAGCTACGCCCCTGTTCACATTACAACGTCAGCAGGATGCCGCGACTCACGACAGCTCAGAGGAACCAGGCGCTAGGAAGACTTGAAGCTGGCTAATAACTTCCAGGCCAACGTTCGGACCATCTACAGGCTGCAGCAACGTTTCCGGGCCACCAACACCACAAATGATCGCTCCACTCTCAAGGGTCACCACAAGACCGCCATGTTGTGCAACATCATGTACAGAATCCCTTCATGCAGGCATCCGAAACAGCACGCAGACAGTGGGAACACACGGAAGACCAATCAGTACAGATACAGTACGCCGACGTCTTAACAGCGGGAACCTCCGTTGCCGTAGACCTCACCCTGGACCTATCCTCACCCCTCGTCATCGGCGTGAACGTCTACGAAAACTGGCGTTACAGGCAATGGATCTGTTCACAGATGAGAGTCGGTACTGCGTATCAACTGCAGATGGCAGAACAAGAACATGGCGACGACGTGGCAAGCGTTACTCAGACCAATGTGTTATGGAAAGAGACTCATGGGGAGGTGAAAGCATCATGGCATGGGGTGGAATAGGCCTGAACCAGAGAGTGGGTCCTGTGGTGTTCCAGAACCTTGGTCCATGGAGAGGAGGCGGCATCACAGCGGTGCGCTACATCGACCAAGCTCTCAGACCCCACGTCATGCCACAATTCGCACGTCACCGGAACAACAGTTTCAAGCATGATAACGCCCAGGCCCATACTGCCAGAGTTACACGGGACTTCCTACAGCAGAACGGTGTCAACATTGTGCAGTGACCAGCCCTTAGTCCTGATTTAATCCCAACTGAACATCTTTGGGATGGAATTCAGAGGAGACTGAGTAATGTCATACCAAGGCCGAACACAGCCGATTTATTGCATTTCTCAGAGTGTGGTTACGGGGGCCAATGGCCTTAATCAATGGATTGGTGCACTCTGTGCCGCTCGTGGTGGTCACACTAGATACTGAAGTCAAGAGTCTGAATGGACTGCAAACGTTCACGTAATGTCTTGAAATTGTGCAGTGTTATTCATTGATGTGTCAAGATATTGTACACAAAAAATGTTTTTGATTGGCTTATTATGTCCATTTCTGTAATGATTTGATTACAGTGCTTATTTCATTTTTAATACGTACTGACGTTTTTTTGCTTCTGAGTATATTTTGTACCAAGAATGACAACTGGATCACAGTTGGGTCCTGGCTGTCATGATAAAGTAAGATACAAACTAAAGAACCTCACTAGTCCTATCGTTAACATTCCTCGGAGATGTGCCACAATCTGTAGTGTCCCATTTTTTACAGCGTCTTCAGATGTACGAGAGTATCGAGTCAAGTCTGAACAGACAAAGAACCAAGAAGGTCCCACGTACTCCAAAAGACGCCCAATAACTACAGCTTGATGGAGAATGGGCTACAACAGACCGAGGAGAAGACTTTCTACTGGTAGATGACAACAGCGTTAGCAGGATCATTGTTTTTGGACAGACACAGATGAAGAGACGCCGTGTTGAAAATGCTTCAGCAACTTTGTACCAACTTGGTTTGGAATACATGACATGTGACAGAGATGTGGCGTCATATCTTTCTGCCTGTGGCAGTGTGCTGGCTGGAAGCGTTGCTCAGTGATTGGTGACTTTGAAGTGATTGACTTTCAAGAATAAACTGTTTTAGCTTTAGTCTTTCTTGTTTTAGTCCTCTGTTACAGTAGCCCCCACAACCACTGGCTAATCAGGGATTAATTAACATGTGTGAGCCGAGCTCTGTCAAAAATGGGACGACCGGTGAGCTCACTGTCAAAATTGGGATAAATGGCTAGATCTATTACAGAAGTGTGAATTTTCACTGTCAAGATTGGGACTGTCAAAATCGGAACTAAACCTATATGACGTTACCATACAAAATGATCCAAACTATTAACTGGTGGAATGTGTAAGTGTATCCTAAATTCATGTCTTATATTCATGTTTTCTTTAGAAATATGATACTTTCAGTATACAGTGTGAGCATAACACTCGATTTTTCGCTGCAGTTAACGTAACACTTTGACAAGACTGCTTCATGCAGGTGTTACCTTCCCGCTAAATATCTCTATCACGCGTGTGCTCTGTAAGAAAATATATAATTTTGACTTTTCAGTGGCGTTAGTTTCACACAAGCAGGGCAGAAAATAGCAGGTGGTAATTTATGAAGAAAACTGTGGGTTAGCTTCTTCATGTGTTCATTCGCTTCCTACAAAGGTCTCGTAAATATGTCGATAGGCTTTACGGTTTGTCTTAAGAGAGCGTAAAGACTGTTATTAATCTCAAATATTTTCCCATTTTTTGTTTGAAGTTTAAAAAACAGAACTACATAGTAAGTGGGTGGTGAAACACACACACACACACGTGTTAGGTAGAGAATTTCCGTTTCAATGTTTTAAATTTGTAATTAAATAGTTCAATTTAACATACTACGCAAAATTTGCACAAAATAGGACATTCCATATGTCGGATAAAACATCATGTTTCATGTTCAACGATAATATGCCTATCGTCACCTTCTCGAAAGCCCTGGGAAAGACCCGATATTATACTCAACGCATGGAAGATTCCCTATGTATATGCCATCATTTCTGTAGCAGCGAATACGCTCAGTAGTAGTGGTGAAACACCGTCATCTCACTACATGTAGTAGTTTGATCATCGGTAACAACAGCAGCTAATGAGGAAATGTACTCCTGTTGCCATCACGTCCACGCCTGATCATATACCGATATTGCAACAGTATACAACAAGGTGATAAGGGTCGGGTCCTAGTTGGAGTCTATGAGAACATCTGTTCCAAGGCAGGTTGAAATAAATCATTACTCAAGGTTACTCCCTGTAAATGGCAATATAGTGGTGCGATTTCATGATTACGTTTAGTGATGTATCGATTGCGCTAAAAACTACGAGTCGTATGTAATTTTTAACATATAAACACCACTTACTCACACATTCAATCACACACTCAATCACTCACTAGTATCTGGTCACTTTCTGTGAAGAAAATCAGATTTCAGAGCTCATCAGGCAATAATATCGAAACACTACCTTCAGATATTTTTATGTGACAAAATGAGAAAAAAAGTGAAGTGATATTTTGGTATACTATGAGCACATTTATTTTACAGATAATTCAGTTATACAATATTAATAATCAACAGCCCATGTATTACTGCTCGACTCCGTTTGGTCGATTGCACCAAAGCCCCGTAGGCATGAGATAATCAGTTTGTTCAATGAGAGCATATGTTTATCGCATCTGAGTTGCACACCTTGAAATGTAGGTTACTCCTGAAAATCACGGTGACGTTAACGCTGTTACCGCTGCTTTTTTTATAACTACAGGCTTCACTGATCTCTTCCATCAGTGGTCCGTATACCTATAGCCAAACACAGCTTCCACGACCTGTCCTTACAGAACAGCCGGTTTGTGAGTATATATGTTGTTGTTTATGTGTATATTACGGGTTCACAGTTTGTGTGAGTAAGTGCGCGTTTTAAAATAATAGAAATGAGGGATTTGGTGACATTTTTTGCTAAGATACAAAAATATATTTTTAGACTTAGATTGTTTCCCCCAAAAAGTGTTTGCATTCAACAAGCATTACAAATTTTGTTAGCCAGTCGGGCCAGCTATGCCTGAAAGTTACTAGCCCACAAAATAATTCACTTGCGCGACATTTGAATGTAGAAACTAAGCAAAAGTTTTCAAAAATAAATGAGAATAGGATACTGTCGGCATGACACGGGTTTCATCATTAAGCTGCTAATATGATGAACATTTTTTATCAGGCCATAATCTTGCAGGATTTAAAAGTGTATTATAACTGATCAAGTCTGAGAGATATTTACAAAATGATCCCATGAAAATTCACTAGCCAGTCGGGCTAGTGACTGGAGATTTACTGGCCCGACTGGATTTCACCCACTGCTTGTATTATCCTCTTCCCTGTTGTTAACTTCCCGACTAGAACTGGTCGTAAGAAGCCATGAAAGGCGACTAGTGGGATTTGGTGGCCAGACTCACCTACATGAGATGCCTGTCATCATTTTTTTTTCAGTTGTGTAAATCGATACTCATTGTTTCAATAATTTAATTGTCTGACCTTGACCCGATTTTTCACAGAACGCCATCAGGAAACTGAAGTATGTCTTTGAACGCCATCAGGAAACTGAAGTAAGTCTTTAAACAATAAAAGACATGTACCATTTTAGTGACAAGTGGTGCATACACAATGTCTTGTGATATTTCTAAGCTGTAGTGTTTATTATTTCCTTTTGTTCACTATATGTCAAATCATCTCAAATATTTGTTGGAAATTGGTGTGAGTGGCAGGTGCTACATGTGGTGCCATCACTAGTTTTCTTATTTGCAAGCCGAACTTAAATCACATAATTCAGTCTTGAAAGCTCAAGCAGTACTCTGATTAATGTATGTTCTGTTGGTTGCGTGTCAGCTTCCACAGCTGGTTTACACAGTTGGCGTTTGTCCTGATACTGACCATGAAAGTGATGCTTCACTCTTCACGTTGTTCCAGAGCTGAGCGTGATGAAACTGCTGCCCTTGTTGTTGCTGCTGCTGCTGGTCCTTGTGTGTCTGGACGCATCTAACGGGAAGTGGCGTGGGAGGAGAAGTTGGAGGAGAATTACTAGGAGGATGAATAGGTCCCGGTGGATAACAAGTACGACGAAGTTACATGGAAGAGGTGAGTGCCTTAAACTTTCTCCACGTTTCACAAGAAATTCCAAGAAAAAAATAGTATTGCTGCAGAGAGCATCAAAGGTGTCGTCGCGGATCCACTGGCTAATGAATATAAATACGTTATTAATGCAATATGCACATGATATCCATTGCTGAACAAGCACTCAACAAAATGTGTAACGTGAGGAATTTAAGGATAACAGCTCGCACTGATAGTCTTTGAACAGCTTTGCTGTCAATGTCAAGGTCTTACAATTGCTAAAATCGTTTGGAATTTCGGAAGGTTTAATTTAATTTAGTAATTTAATTTAGCATATCCTCCACTGGTTGACGTGTGATTCAATATAAAAAACATCGCTTGTAAAAATGCAACTGCAATAGACAAAGCTTAATCATATGGTTATACAGTCAATCGATATATCGATGCCCATTCTATTGATCACTGGATTGTCTAGACCAGACTCGATTCACAGAGCGCCGCCATATAGCTGGAATATTGCTGAGTGTAATGATAATAATTCATATATTTAGCGCCTAGTATCTATCTGACTAGTTGCTCACTGGACCTTGTAATCAGAATCTGATTATTATTACCCCGGATAACCCAAGCTGCCTGTTACGCGTTAGAAGGTTACAGTCACATGACCCATCCTGCTGGGTGAACCGAGGCAATTTTGAACAAACTCACTTGCCTAAGGTAAGACCACATGTATCACATGTGCTTCGTTGGGGGTGGGGGTGGGGGTGGGTGTGTGTGTGTTGTTAGCCTAGTGGTTAAAGCTTTGGCTCGTCACGCCGAAGACACGGGTTCGAATCCCCACATGGGTACATGTGTGAAGCCCATTTCTGGTGTCCCCCGCCGTGATGTTGCTGGAATATTGCTAAAAGCGGCGTAAAACCATATTCAGTCAGTCAGTCAGTCAGTCGTTGTGGGGCAGAAGTGAAGTCCTAGAAACTCTCAGGAGTCAAACTGCCAAACACGGTCACCCATCCAAGGACTGTGTGGCGTTAAACAACAAACCAACCAACCAAACAAATTCGAAATCAGTTAGTCTAAGCAACACGTGTTACGTAGTGTTCATGGTTGAACAAAATCGGAATAGAACATGTGACAACGTTTGATGTCATAATCAACCCCTCTAACCTATCTACGCCTTATACACTTAGTTTCTATATACACTATTTAACGTGATTGCATCATATCTGTATGAACGGCTCTAGATCACCAACATAGGTTAATTGAACATGATTCGTTTCAGATCTTGAGAGCGAAGACATCAAACAGGGAAGGGATATTGACCAATCGCGGGACGAGGTGTTATTCAATGCGAGAGATGTAAAAGTGTTGATGACATCGGCTGATAACAGTAAGGAAGTGTATATTATCGTAATTATATACAAGACATGAGAATATGATCGTTAATGTTTAAACTTGATGCTTAAAAGTTATTTTGACTCGGTCACTTATTATTTATTAGCTTTACTGAAATGATGAATAATGCTGGTGTACACGACTAGGAATGTTATGGATAACCACTGCTATATAATGCATAGCGCGTCATGCCCATTCATCACCAATGTATAATAAAGAAGTCAACACGATTACATTCAGCCTGTAGGTGCTTTTAAAGACTGACAGTGTCGAACTTTCTTGGACTGACGTCTTCGTGGTATGGCTGTCTATATTTTCTTGTGTTTCCCACCCGTGAAGGTCCGGGTTAGAATTGATCTTCAGCAACCCATGCTTGTCGTGAAAGGCGACTAACGGGATCGGGTGGTCATCGGTTCCCAATTGCGTAGATCGACTCTTATGCTGTTGATAACTGGATTGTCAGGTCCAGAGTCGATTATTTACAACTAAACTAAACTCACTCACTCACTCACTCTTGTGTTTCCCACCTCCTGACTGCTTTAAACAATTCAAACACTAAAAATATTTTTAAGCCAGTTTTGGCCCCCGAAATTGAAATTTATGCCCTGCGTACGCTAACATTTCATCCACTCTAGAACCAGCTCATCTTGATCTTTCTTCATCAATCTATATACATTGTTTTCGAAGCAAAGGGATTAAATCTACATTAAACATTATTTCAAAGTCATTATTGGGTCATTTAAATTTCAAATTTTACAAAAGAAGATGCACAATTAGTGCCAACATTTAAAAAAAAATTTTTATTCATGTTTTAAGCCCGTCCACAAAAAGCAAGAGATGAGAAACATTAAAAATATGCATGGCGTATTTTTTCTTTTTGAGGATGCACTGTAGACACAGTGTTCTAAATTGCTGCTGTTCCACTGACCATGGGTTCGAATCTTAGATTCACCCAATAGTTAACCCTGGTCCGTCAGTACCATACTTGCGGGTTTTGCCATCATGGAAAATGTCTAATGATTTTCAGGTTTCATCCCAGAACAAGAAAACATAACGATTTACATTTGAAATAAACTTTAAAAAGGAATTAAAACCAGCTTACCATTCACACAGCTTACTAAAGTTGTTTGTTGTTTACAGATGCAGCGACGAAGGAGTGAGAACGTACCCAGATCAATGAACTGACAATATCTGACCTTGATTAGATAAAATGTCTCAATAGATAAATGCTTCTGTTGTTATTTAGGAATGCGTTCCCCAGTGCTTCAATAACATAGAGTTACTCTCCAAAATGGCATTGAATGCTCGGAAATAACATCGATTTTCAAAACTGTAATTTCTCAATCCTAGTTGTACGACAATACTAATGCAACTGGGGAAAATAACAACCGGTGTTGAATTATGACAGCATGAGAATATGTCATGCCCGCCAACGATCATGTGGGACAACCGGTGTTGAATGATGAGAGTATGACAGCTTGTTATGACCGCAAGTGATCATGCAGCACAATAGTAGGAGGTTCGGAAAAAGGTTCCAAAGTTGACGTTTTTGGAACAGTGGTATGTAATACCGCGGTGATTTGTCCAACATCCATGCGATTCTCCCAGTCTGGTGAAATCTCTCGCACTCCTGTTGCAGCGCCTGATCAAGTTTACATAACGTAGTTGGAGGTTCATGTCGCGCACCTCCCTTTCATATCCCAGACGTGTACAGTTGGGGGAAAGCTCGGGTTGATTGCTGGCCGTGGGATTCTAGGGATGGTGTGCTGTAGGTGCGCCTTGACGATTCGTGCTCCGTGAGCATGGGTGTTGTCGTCCTTAGAGAACAAACGTCGTCCCCAGGCATTTGAGACAACAAAGTGTGTCGGTATGTTGTCTCGACAGAACCGTGACCCTTCCTTGCACAATAAAGTGTTGGGGTACACACACTCACAGCAGGGGTACACACACTGACAACAGGGGTACACACACTGACAACAGGGGTACACACACTCACAGCAGGGGTACACACACTCACAGCAGGGGTACACACACTGACAGCAGGGGTACACACACTGGAAGCAGGGGTACACACACTGACAACAGGGGTACACACACTGGCAGCAGGGGGTACACACACTGACAGCAGGGGTACACACTGACAGCAGGGGTACACACACACTGACAGCAGGGGTACACACACTGACAACAGGGGTACACATACTGACAGAAGGGGTACACACACACACTGACAGCAGGGGTACACACACTGACAGCAGGGGTACACACACTGACAGCAGGGGTACACACACTCACAGCAGGGGTACACACACTGACAGCAGGGGTACACACACTGACAGCAGGGGTACACACACTCACAGCAGGGGTACACACACTGACAACAGAGGTACACACACTGACAGCAGGGGTACACACACACTGACAGCAGGGGTACACACACTGACAACAGGAGTACACATACTGACAGAAGGGGTACACACACTGGAAGCAGGGGTACACACACTGACAACAGGGGTACACACACTGACAGCAGGGGTACACACACTGACAGCAGGGGTACACACTGACAACAGGGGTACACATACTGACAGAAGGGGTACACACTGACAACAGGGGTACACACACTGACAGCAGGGGTACACACACTGGAAGCAGGGGGTACACACACACACTGACAGCAGGGGTACACACACTGGAAGCAGGGTACACACACTGACAGCAGGGGTACACACACTGACAACAGGGGTACACACACTGACAACAGGAGTACACATACTGACAGAAGGGGTACACACACTGACAACAGGGGTACACACACTGACAGCAGGGGTACACACACTGGAAGCAGGGGTACACACACTGACAGCAGGGGTACACACACTGACAACAGGGGTACACACACTGACAACAGGAGTACACATACTGACAGAAGGGGTACACACACTGACAACAGGGGTACTCACACTAACAGCAGGGGTACACACACTGGAAGCAGGGGTACACACACTGACAGCAGGGGTACACACACTGATAACAGGGGTACACACACTGGCAACAGGGGTACACACACACTGACAGCAGGGTACACACACTCACAGCAGGGGTACACACACTGACAGCAGGGGTACACACACTGACAGCAGGGGTACACACACTGACAGCAGGGGTACACACACTGATAACAGGGGTACACACACTGGCAACAGGGGTACACACACTGACAGCAGGGGTACACACACTGACAGCAGGGGTACACACACTGACAGCAGGGGTACACACACTGACAACAGGGGAAAACACACTGACAACAGGGGTACACACACTAACAGCAGGGATACACACACTGACAGCAGGGGTACACACACTGGGTATATTCAACCGTCCCTCAAAGGTGTTTATTTGCTCACTGGTCATGCAGAATGTCTTCTCGCTGAATGTAGCATTCATATCATATGATCAGTGTAGTGGGGGGACATTCTGGATGTGCATCTTAAATTGTTTGTATTGGTCGATTGTCAATCTCTCTATATTTATAGGCCGCCATGATAAAACAGGAGAACTGATGACTACGTCGTAAAAAAACAACATTATTTGAAACGTTCGAATGAAAGGGGTATGAATATCTATTTGTAGTTTTCATATCATATTTATATCTCCCAAAATTGACACAGCAATAGAAAAACCCTGAAGGACCTGATCTTTCACGTAATACTTATATGTGCAACTGTCACTTGTGGAGAGCTCGATTCAAATTATGAAAATTTGTATGTCAGTGAACAAACCTTTTACCCAGCCTCCTTAACGATCACCCATACACATGTGTTCAGTCAAGGTGATTAATTTGATGCACTTCTCGGAGTAAGACCCGTTTAACTATAATAAAATTTAATCATATAACAGATAGTCTTGACCAGGCGCCGCCATTTTGTTCAAATCAAATCAAGTACAATGTTGGACGGAATCTGATTGCCCAATGGGATGGACATATGATGGACTTGACTGGAGCAGCTCATGGCGCTGCTATCGGCCATTGTGTTACCACGAAATGCCAGCCCATTTGGGCAAAGGTGGAACATGGACTTTTGTAGTCTGTTAGCTCCTTTGTTTATAAAAGATGTCGTTTTTGGGCTGTTCGGTTGGACTCAGTGACCTTGACTCCGTTTCCTCTCAGTTGTTCATTATCACCGAGGACATAGATACTGGGGTCGGCTTACAGTTATAACACTTATTTCATAGTGTCTTATATAGGGAATTACAGTTCCTTACTAATTGCCTGTTCGTAGGACGTTTATAACTTGCTAACATGTTACAGTTCAGTACACCGCCAAACAGAATTGGACAGAGATGGCGACATGAGGTATTGCTGAGCCGAGCCGAAAATAACTAAATCACATGAATAAATAGCATATTGCAGTATGAATGAATGAATGAATGAATGAATGAATGAATGAATGAATGATAATTGATTTGTATAGCGCCTGGTTTCGAGATTAAACAAGAGTAGCTGTGATCCACCATTATGTTATTAACCCCTTTACCCTGAGGGAATATTTACAATGGTTTTGAGGTTCATAAATGTCCTTTACGTCAGTTAATTCTGTTAAAATGTCTTGTTGTATGGTGATTGTGGCGTTTGAAAATGCTGAGTCAACAATCATCCTGGAACACTAAGCCAACACTACGTGAAAACCCGAGAAGATCCGGGTTAGAACTGGTCTTCAGTAACTAATGCGTGTCGTCAGATGCGACTAACGGGATCTGGTGGTCAGACACGCTGACACCACACATGTCATAGTAAACCAGCTGCGTGGATCCAGACTCATGATGTCAATCACTGGATTGTCTGGTTTTGATTATTTACAGACCGCCGTCATATAGCTGGAATAGTAAGTAAACACACAAATAAGCAACGATACTTGCAGCAGACTGGGCAGACTGATGCTGGGGACCCACAATCTACTACCCTCGGTACCTCTGTTTAATATCTAAAACAACCTTGGATTGACCGCCGTTAGATTTCACTGACACTGGGGATAATTTTAGTCTTATTGGTTGTCTCCAGGTGGGTTCGCCCTCTCGAGGCTGTACCTTCTGAGCTTTTGCTGAAGGGTCAGTTTTAAGTAAAGTTTCATTTTACCGGATGAGCAGGTGCTCCATAATGTTTCGTCTACATTGAAGATTATACCACTTTTAAAAAAAATAACACATGTATAAATTACTTTTCCTGATCCATACACTTTGATTATTTAGAAGCTTAAATTCATGTGATTATGTTGATTCAGAACCATTTTTAATGCGAGGACACATTCTTTTCTATTTATTATTTTGTAGTCATTGATAACTTCTCCCGATATAAATATGACTAGAATGTTGCAGCGTGTGGTGTTTGGGAACAAATGAGAATATACAGAACGAAAGAATCACTCGTAAAATCCTTTATCTTGGTCTGTTATGTGTTGTTGACTGGTGGTTTATCTGTGATGCGATCGCAGTATACCAACCAATGTTACTGTGGGTGAGATCTGTTTATGAGTAGTTTGCTTTAACGAAGCTCTCTAACATAGTGTCAAATGAGAATCAATTAAAAGTTTAAACTGATGCTGATTCGAACCCATGATCACTGAATTTGGACACTCGTGTCCTTTGTTATTGTGTCCTCTCACGTCAGATGCGGTGGGGAAGCCTAATGAATATAGCGTTCGTCGAAGACTCGGGTTCAATTCCCCACATGGGTACAATGTATGAAACCCATTTCTTGTGATATTGCTGGAATATTGTTAAAAGCGGTGTAAAACTAAACAGTTACTGATTCACCCACTCTCACGCCAAATAAGACGTGTTGGTTAGAATTGTGGCACTAGGTGCATGGCGAAAGAACTGGCAATAAAATGGTAGATTGTCAATCTTTTTATATTATAGACCGCCATGACATAACTGGAGAACTGATGACTGATGACTGAAGCATTATTTAAATCGTTCAGTTCATAAATCGGTATGAATATGTAACTGAATTATTATTAAGTCCTATTTCTATGACTTCCACCCTCCTCCCCCTCCCCTTCCCCTGCCTCTGTGTTTGGGTGCACTCACATGAGTTTGCTTGGGACACATTTGAAGTGACTGAATGAGTTTAATCAAGATTCCAGCAAAATTACAAAGTGGAGCACGGGAGACAGGCTCCTCACACTACACACGAACATGACTGTGACTACTCCACCACCACGCATTATTGGAGTTTTGCAACCTGCCTTTGTCATTGAAATAACCCTGGTTGCTTTATCTTTTGTGAAGAGTATATACACTGTGTTTTGCTGTGTTGACTGAACAGGTTGTTAGAATGCAAATAACAACAGCTGATTTGATAAGAAGTCACTGTAATCTGAATAAGACCCTAGCTCGCATCCACATCTGGCGTAAATTACATTCATATGCTCATCAATATGTCGATACGAGCTTAAAACAGTAATGTATTTTATTACAGGACGAGGGAAGGGGTGTAGTCAGACTAAATCAGGGGAGCGTAAATCAATATAATAAATGTTGATTTTGAACTATTGTTTATGTGAAGACACATTCTTTTCAATTCATTATTCCGTAGTCGTTCATATCCTACCGTTATATGACTAGAAAGTTGCTGTGTGAAGCGTTTGGGAACAAATAAGAATATGCAGAACGAATGCATCACTCGTAAAATCAATTATGTTGGTCTGTATATTTATTGTTGACTGATAGTTCATCTGTCGCCTCCTGACGTGAGAGGGCACACTTAGAAAGAGATGACATATTTGGGGTGGGTCAAGGAACCATGTTATGACGTTCATTTTTATCAATCTTGTTTATTGTGGGTCATGAAAATATTTTACAAGGACATGGCGAGTGATATAACATATCACATGCAGTATTGTGATATTACACTATTCTTTTACATTAGAGTATGAAAAAGGTAATAACTCTGCCAGCCCATCTCCCCCGGATCTCATACCAACCACTCACCACATTCCCATTTACGCTTCTGTAGTAAAGGACCAGTCACTGAACATTGTGTTATCAATAAAAATACGGACTGAAATCATTGAAGAGACTGAGGTCGAAATGTGAACAAGTACATCTATGCATGATCATGATTAGACATATTTCTTCTGACAATTGTGAAGGAAGCTAATTTCGTTGTCGTATGATGGACATTCACGGTTATTTGTGAGCAAGTCGAGCAATATTATTGATGCATTCAGTGTTCAGTGATATTCACGGCATTACGGGAGACGGCATTATGGCATTTGATGTTGTAATTTCAAAATAACAGTTAAACCCGGTGACTATTAAACATTGAATATACTCAAAGGCTGTGTTTGTATGAGGCTGAATTGCATGCTCTTTTTATCTCTGAATCTTACTCAACACTAAGAGATAAATATGTTACTAAGTAAGTTACGAAACCATACACTATTTATCCTTTGGTATCTCCTTAATTCAGAACAATACACGTCTCTTGCTATATACTTATATCATGTCAAAAAGTTTTAACTCGCAGAAATTAGTTAAGGGATCTTGCCCACGGAAACAAATCATCGATGTATGCATTCTGGGAGGTCTATTGCTGAAATACACCTGTGTCTGTCTGTCTGTCTGTCCTCGTGTTCAGTGATATTCACGGGAACATGAAACTTACAACAGGGCATGATCATGAACAACAATATGTCTTCCGACAGTAGTTAAGGAAGCTAATTTCGTTGTCGTATGATGGACATACACGGTTATTTGTCAGCGAGTCGAGCAATATTATTGATGCATTCAGTGTTCAGTGATATTCACGGCATTACGGGAGACAGGTGCGTGGATTGGCAGCAAATCGTGTATGTACAGTTTAACACTTAAAACCCAGCATCCTGTTCTGTCAACAGCTGATCGGCTTTCAGTGACGTGCCATACTTTATGTATCACCTTGTGAAACTGTTCCCACGGTTCTTTCTCGTATGCATTGCGCTCCCTTTGTTGTTTGAGAAAGGAGAAGTCCGTAAGACTGACTGACTAACTGAGTTTAGTTTTACGCCGCTTTTAGCAATATTCCAGCAATATCACGGCGGGGGACACCCGAAATTGGCTTAACACGTTGTGCCCATGTGGGGAATCGAACCCGGGTCTTCGGCGTGACGAGCCAACGCTTTAACCACTAGGCTACCCCACCGCCCCTAAGTCTGTAAGAAGAGTCCAATGGGGAAGAGTCTTACAATAGCAAATATATGTTTGGTTGACGTTGGCCTGATAAGTTGGTATGAGTGAGAGAAATTTGCAAAAAAACATGCATCGATACTAGAAAAGAGCAAAACATTGAAGGGTCCAGCAAATGTATCAGGAATCTGTATCTGGACGATGAATCATAACACTGTTGTCTGAAGCTGTTTTGTCTGCTATCGCAGAAAGTTAGGTAGGTCGCAGATATATAACACTTCCATGGATGCACCATCAGATACACTGTCATTATCTTCAGCAGATCAACATTGCCAGCTATGGTCCGTGTGTCAAAGCGACACCAACGGACACATGAACACATGCAGTAGGTACATTGTAGGCGATGTTTCCTGATGGTGCTGGCATCACGTCCACGCCTGATCATACAATACATCAAGGTGATAAGGGTTGGGTCCTAGTTGGAGTGTATGAGAACATCTGTTCCAAGTCAGGTTGAAATAAATAATCACTCAGTGTTATTCCCCGTAAATGGTAATATAATGATTACGTTTAGAGATTGCATGCTTGCTCCCTCCCTAGCTCCCTCACTCACTCATTCGTATTTGCACACTTTCTGTAGAGAAAATAAGAATTCAAAGTAGCTCACCAGGCAATGATATCGAAACGCTACCAAGATAGTCCAAAGATGTCATGTACCAAAATGAGAAATATGTGAATTGGTACAGTGATATGCCTATGAGCACATATACATTACATACATTAATATGGTTATACTTACAACAACGATAATCAACAGTCCATGTACTACTGCTCGTTCCGTTTAGTCGATTGCACCAAAGCCCAGCAGTCATGAGATCATCGGTAATATCAGTGTTTATTTAACGGGAGCATATGTTTATCACATCTTGGTTGCAACACACTGAAATGACGGATGGTGCTAGGTACTTCCTGAAAATCACGGTTATTATCAATAAAGCTGTCACCGATTCTTCGTTTATAAGTACAGACTGTATTGATCTCTTCCAGCAGTAGTCCGTAAACCTATAGTAACACACTTCTTCCACAGCCTGTCCTTTCAGAACAGACGTATTGTGAGTATATACATTGTTGATTGTTTTAACTTTGGGGTGAGAGAGTGTATCTTACGATACGTGGCTTCACAGTTTGTGTGGGTGCGCATGTGTGCGTGTGCGTTTGTTTTAGAACTATATAAGTGAATCATTTGGTGACATTTTTTTGACATAGATACAAAAAGTTATTTTTTAGACCCAGATTGTTTCTCGAAAAGAGTGTTTGCATTCCACAAGCATTACTTGTAGGATCCTCTTTCCTGTTTTCATGAACATTCCTGGCTGGAACTGGTCTTCAGCAGCAATGGCTTGTCGTAAGAGGCGAAGACACCTTTCCCATAACACTATTTGGCTAGAACTGGTTTTTAGCAGCCACGGCTTGTCGTAAGAAGAGAATAAACTTTCATTAAAGGCAACTAACGGGATTTACTAACGGGATTTGGTGGTCAGACTCGCTTACCTGTCTTCATTTTTCATTTTTGTAAATCAATGCTCATTGTTTCATTAATTTTATGTCCGGTTCGATTTTTCACAGACCGCCACCGGGAAACTGAAGAATGGCGATAAACAACAAACAGTTGATGTGTTTGTTTACTTTAGTTCACTTCATCTCTGATCTTCTCTAATATTTGTTGGAGATTTGTGCGAGTGGCGATCGCTAATGAACATTTGTTGTCAACACTCATATGATTTCACATGGTTTTTTTCCACTTTACATTCCAAGTGAATCATTTTCTGTGGCGTTGACGTTTCATATTTGCCGCTGAACTGTGAAATCACGTGTAAGCATAAGGGCAGCATTTTTATTTTCTGTGTTTCTCATCGCCCGACCGACCCTTCTAAATTTACTGACGATCACTCCAAAAAAACATTTTCATTCAAACACCAGCCGACTCGAACCTAAACGTACAGTCTCGTCATATAAACTGTTTATCTGTATATCATTCACTGCAATAAGTCCAAAGAACGCGAGAAATTGTAATAAGAATTACAATCAATGAGAATCAAGAACAATACTCAGATAATTTTGTCTTTATTAAGTTTTTTTCCTCGACCGACTGACCCATGTTCAGAATTTGATGGCTACGTGAAACACATAAAAAACTGATGCCCTAACTCAGTCTTGAATGCTTAAACAGTACCCTGATTATTGTATGTTCTCTGGTGAGCTTCCATACCTGGTTTACACAGTTGGGGTTTGTCCTAATACTGACGCCGTCATATAGCTGGAATATTGCTGAGTGCGGCGTGGAACTAAACTCACTCACTCACCTAATACTGACCATGAAAGTGATGCTTCACCCTTCACGTTGTTCTAGAGCTGGGCGTGATGAAACTGCTGCCCTTGCTGCTGGTGGTGGGGCTGGTGGTCCTCGTGTGTCTTGATGCTTCTGACGGAAGGCGGCGTAGAAGGGGTGTTTGGAGGATGAGGAATAGGATGAGGAATAGGGTGGGGAAGAGGATGAGGAAGATGATGATGATGATGAAGATGATGATCCCGAAGAGGGGCAGGTGGATAAGAAGTACGACGAAACTGCATGGCAGAGGTGAGTACCTTAGACTTTCTTCGCGTTTCACAAGATATTACAAGAAACATATTGCTGCAGGGAGGATCAAAAGGTACCTTCGCGCGTCCATTGGCTAATAGACAACAGTTGTCCGGTACACATCTCCACCCCTGCTCACTCCCAACTCATCCCCACCCTGCTCACACCCACTCATCCCACCCTGCTCACACCCAGCTCATCCCAATACTGCTCAACACCCACTCATCCCCACCCAGTCCCAGAGGTGAGCTCATGCATCATTTCTAAATGATGAAGCTAGGTAAATACACTATCAACATGTCCGCCCTGATCAGCACTATACATGTATTCAGCTCTGTGAGGTTCGCTCCATGCATCAACCGTATGTGGAGGGAGGAAGAAGGGCTACGTAATGTTACCATCAGGGAAGCTTCCTCTTCTATCACGGTTACAGTGAGTGAGGGAGTGTAACTCTTGGGAATCGCCTTAACTTCGAAACCGTTTCGTGATTAGTTAAAGGTAAATTATATGGTTACACAGGCATTAACAAACTCGAAATAAAGACCTTTTCTTACACCGTTATAGGAGCATAACCAACTTAACTCCACTACAAAATTACCAGCAGTCTAGCCTTATCAGTAATGGGGTGACACCAGGGGCGTAGCTACCATTATCAAAAAAGCATGGGCTTACACGTGATTTTTGCCAAAAGGTTGGGCCCCCAATGCCCTGAATACTATCGGGCTAATAGTATGTGGAATAGAACATGTGACAACGTTTGATATGATAATCAGCCCCTCTAACTTCTCTACGCCTTATACACTTAGTTTCTATAAATAAATTAACTTGATTACATCATATCTGCATGAACGGCTCTAGATCACCAACATTGGTTAATTGAACATGATCCGTTTCAGATCTTGAGAGCGAAGACATCAAACAAGGAAGGGATATTGACCAATCGCAGGAGGAGGTGTTATTCAATGCGAGAGATGCAAAAGTGTTGATGACGGTAAGGAAGTCTATACTATCATACACTGGCCCCAAAAGAAACGCATAGCTGAATTCTGATCTTCAAAGTAGATTGTTTCGAAAAATATGGCATGGAATGACTGTCAATGTTAATATTAAGTGTGAATATAGCCCATACAAGTATCCAACACACGCAAAACAACCTTTGGTGATTATTCGCCAAAACACAGCACCTTGAAAACATCCCCGTATCATCTGCATGTAGAAAAATCTGAAAGCATGATGCACGTGCAAATACGGGATCTGAATCTTGATACTGATGGGTATAAAAGCCAGCAGTCCTGTTGCGATTCATTCTCCGAAATTCTGTATATGCGACCCTCAAGATGCCACGACTAAACGAAGAAAGCAGAAACAGAGCCATTGGACACTTGGAAGCTGGAGAAAGCCAGTCATCAGTTGCCAGACATCTAAACGTGAGGCAGAGTACGATTTCCCGTCTCTGGCAGCGCTACACGCAGCACAAACTCGACCAGAGATCGTCCTAGGAGTGGGAGACCAAGGGTGACAACTCCAGCGCAAGACCGCTTCATCCGGGTGTTTCATCTGCGAAATCGGACCGTCACTGCAGCGTACACCGCCGACAATGTTCCTGGGCTGCGTCGAGTCTCTGCACAAACCCATCAGGAATCGCCTAAGAGAGCATGGGATCCGACCGATGCGACCACATACAGGACCTGTTCTGCGACACCACCATCGTCGTGCACGTCTTCAATGGAGCAGGAACGTTCGGCCATGGACCCTCTTGAACTGGAGGAGGATCTGGTTCAGCGACGAGTCGCGGTTTATGCTGTATCGACATGATGGCAGGATGCGGATTTACAGACGTCGAAAAGAAAGATATGCTCGACAGTGTGTTCGTGAGGTCGACAGACACGGCGCCGGAGGTGTAATGATGTGGGCAAGCATATCTATGAATGACAGAACAGAGCTGGTGCATGTCCAAGGGAATTTGAATGCTGTGCGCTATCGTGATGAAATCCTGGTACGTCATGTTATTCCCGTAATTGACGCTAGAAGAGAAATTTTCCAGCATGACAACGCAAGACCGCATACAGCACGCATTACAACAGATTTCCTTGCCATCAACAACATTACAGTTCTTCCATGGCCTTCAAAATCTCCGGATCTTAACCCAATTGAACATTTGTGGGACCAATTGGATCAACGTGTACGACGCCGACAGCCGCAACCACAGACACGTCAACAGCTTGTCGATGCGTTGCAGGATGAGTGGAGAAGAATCCCACAACGGCGGATCCGACGTCTTATACAGTCTATGCCCAGGCGATGCAGAGCAGTGATTGAGGCTCGTGGTGGTCACACCAGATACTGACTTTGTGACCGTGCCATCAAAACAGAGACTCTCAATACCACTGTGAATGACTGTATGTTTTTGACACACATGTCCCAATACCTGTTAGAATTTTTATTGCTCTATTATCATTACTTTTTGTTTAATTTAAGTTATTAAAACATCACTGATAACACTGGATTTTCACCTATGCGTTTCTTTTCTGGGCCAGTGTAATTATACAAGACAGTTACATTGCATAGTGATGAAGTGTACACACGTGAAGTACTTGCAACACCTGGAAACCTGTACACAAGAACATAGAGAGCGTATATCCTTTGATGCAAAATGAGAATATGATAGTTATGTTTCAACCTAATGCTTCAAAGCTATTTTAACGATATCTCGGTCACTTATAACTTATAATTTCACTGAAATAAAGTATAATGCTGGGGTACACGACAAGGAATGTTGTGGACAACGACTGCTATATTATACGTTTCTTGACCGTTTATCTCCAATTTATAACAGAGTAGTTTTCCATATTACTAGCCGACATGATTACATTCAGCCTGTTGATGCCTTTAAAGGCTGACAGTGTCGGTGTTTCTTTACTGACATCTTCGTGGTATGGCGGTCTGTGTTTTCTTGTGTTTCCCATCTCCCGACCACCATACAAAAGCCGCTATGGAAATTTATGCCCCGATGTGATGAACTTTTGAACCGCTCCAGAACCAGGAGTACATGTACATGTATAAAACTAAACATAGTTTCGAAACAAACTGACTCAATCTACATCAAACATTATTTTGAAGACAATTATTAAGTATTGTGGGCATTACAAAATAAGCCACATAATTAGTGTCAATATTTTAAAACTATAATTTATACATTATATTCATGTTTTAAGCCCGCACACACTTTTGCAGCTTGAAGTTGGAGATGAGAAACACATGAATAGGAATGGATGGCCTAAATGGAGTGTTCTATATTGCTACTGTTCGGCTGATCACAGGTTATAATCTCAGATTCACCCAATAGTAAACCCTGGTCCATCAGCGCCATACTTGTGGGTTTAGCCATCATGGTCAAGTGTTTGTTAGGTTTAATCACAGAACAAACTGACGTGTCAAATTTGTATACACTTCATAGGCGGATCCAGAAATTTTCAAAAGGGGGTGGGTGGGGATTGGTGGGTTCGAACCCCTGAACCCCCTTTCTGGATCCGCCACTGCATTTCAAAAAGGAATTAAAACCATCCTTCTATTTACGCAGTTTGCTTGAATATAATTATGCTTTATTGTTTGCAGATTATGCGACGAAGGAGTGAGAACGTACCCAAATCCGTGAACTGACAATATCTTACCTTGATTAGATAAAATGTCTTAACAGATAAATGCTTTTGTTGTTATTTAGGAATGCGTTCCCTTGTGTTTCAGTAACATAGAGTTACTCTCCAAAATGGCATTGAATGCTCGGAAATAACATAGACTTTCAAAACTGTAATTTCTCAATCCTAGTTGTATGACAATACTAATGCACTGGGGAAAATAACAACCGGTGTTGAATTATGACAGTATGAGAATATGTCATGCCCGCCAACGATCATGTAGGACGAATTTCAAAGTTGACGTTTTTGGAACAGTGTAATACCGTCGTGATTTGCCCACATTCATATGATTCTCCTTTTGCAGCGCCTAGTCAAGTTTACAAAACGTGGTCCAAAGTCAGCAGTCAATAGCACACATAGCACAATGAATACACATACACAAACAAACCATACAACCCACAGTTTTGTGATAAACAGATCACTGGGATTGACAGAAGTAATGGTAAGTACTCGACCTTCTTAAATTCATTAATGACATCCATGTGGAAACTGTCATATGTATTTTGGTGTTAGGGTTTACAGTCATAAACATTGCTACTTTCTTGGCAATAGGTATGTTTGTCCAAGTCAACCCTTTTATTTGGTTGAGTCCCATCCGGGATACGAACCAACACTCTCAGAGTCAGGCATCTAATCGCCAGCACACAAAGTCAGCCATCTAATTTTAACCTACTCAGCCACCGCGGCTTCCACAAAAATGGCTTCCACAGAATCTGTACTTTACTGAGAAAGTGTAATCCCAAATACAACAGATATATGTTACATTTGTTCATTTTCGGAACGGCATTGTGAAATAAAATGTTTAATTGCATGTTCTGGTGTGTTCTGCAGATTCCTTTATATCATTATGGAGATCGAACTACTAGTAGCGAACGAATAACAACCGAGCTATCCAACCGCCCCTTAAATGTGTGTATTTGCTCATTGGACATGCAGAATGTCTTGATTGTTAATCTCTCTATATTTATACACCGCCATGACAGAACAGGAGAACTGATGACTACGTCGTGAAAAAAAACATTATTTGAAACGTTCGAATTAAATGGGTATGAATATCTATTTGTATTTTTCATATCATATTTATATCTCCCATAATTGACACAGCAATAGAAAAACCCTGAAGGACCTGATCCTTCACGTAATACTTATATGTGCAACTGTCACTTGTGGACAGCTCGATTCCAATTATGAAAATTCGTATGTCAGTGAACAAACCTTTTACAGCAGACCCCTGACTTGGACAAAAGGCCCCTGGACTGACCACCGGGATAATTTTGGCCTTATTGTTTGCCTCCAGACATGTTCGCTCTCTAGAGGCTGTACATTTGAGCTTTTGCTTTTGGGTCAGTAGTTGCTACAGTTTACTAAACATCTACATTGTAAATTATAGAGTAGAGCCCTGGCCATACTCCACATTTAGAAACATCTCATTCATAAAATACTGTTTCTGATAAACTTTGATTATTTAAAAGCATAGATTAATAAAATTATGATGATTTGGAACTATTGTTTTTTTGTTTTTTGTTTTTTTATTCATTCAAAATCAGTAGATAGAAATATACAAAGTACATGATGCAACAGGACTTGTACACAACAAAACAGAAATTCATATGGGTTGGCATTACACATATTGGAATCTTCATTATTATCAAGCTGGGAATGTGTGCAGTAGAGATGACCATTTCTGTCAAATTGTTATATGTTTTGATTCTTACTGGCAATAAACTTTTCTGTCTTGAAAATATCACTCAATATTTTTACAAATGTATCCAGTGATAACTTATTTTTTTTTAATACTTGATATATTGATGTATTTTTTACTGGCAAGAAGTATGTGATTAATAAGGTCGTTATTATTTCCGCCAATTAAGACTGTATATTTTGTCAGGGTAAAATTTTCTGATGATTTATATTCAATATATTCTTTCAGTTTCAACCAGAACGTTTTCACACATTCACATTCCCAATGAACATGTATCAAATTTTCTGACATTATATTACCAAATGAGCAAAGTTCATCATCTACTAATTTCATTCTCAATATTTCTTTTTTTTGTAGACAATATTGTGGATAAATTTAAACTGGAAGTCAATCAATTAAGTATCTTTTGTACATCTTCTATATTTTTATAAAATATCTTGCCATGGAATTGCAATATCAAAGATATTTTGCCATGTTTTACATGTTGAAGGTAGGTTTTCAGTAGTTGTAAGTTTATCCTAGAAATATCTGGATCTCTTTGGTGCTGAAAGTAAACCTATCAGTGATGTGTTAAGATAATGATTATGAACAATCAATAAATTATTTCTTATGGTATCTTTCCATTTCTTGGGTATATTTGAAAGAACCTGATAATAGTCAACAATTGTGCCTTTAATTTTGTAAGTTTTCTTAAGTTCACTAAATGACAAAATACCTTGATCATTACACAAGTCTCTTATAGAGTGAATACCTTTGAGATGCCAATGTCTTATAATGAAATTACTATTTTGGAATTGATGATTGAACCAAAGGGTTCGGATAAGATTAGATCAATATCTGTAAAATCAGTTTTATGTGTTTTATAGAATATCCCCCATGCAGCCAATACATCTTTCCAATAGGGATTCATAATATTGACATAATTTTCAATATTGGCTCCAAGCAGAAATATATCTTTGAATGGAAAGATACTAGGGCTAGTACTGCCTTTATTTTGAAAATATTTATGTAAAACTGACTATGAATACCTCTACATTAACCATTCTGAGTCGCCCTTCTTCATATTTTCTCATAAGTACCGTTCGCTTTATCTTATCCCGCTTATCATTCCAGATGACATTATAAAATATATTGTTTAATTTGTCAATGAATGCCTTTGGAGGATTTGGGACTGAAGTGAATACACGCACCAATGATGAAAGTGCTAAAGTTTTAATAACAGTTATTTTCCCTATTAATGTCAACTTTCTTTTCCTCCACTTCCCTAGAGTTCCAGTAATAATTTCTAGTCTTTTTCTTGTATTAATTACCCAAAGGTTATTTAAATTAGGATTAAGCCTTATTCCTAGAATATCAAAATCCCCATTATGCCAATCAAGCTTAAGATCCTGGCATAAAATCATGCTATTACCTGCCATTGAACCTATCCACACTGCTTTAGTTTTTATCTATTATTCATTCTTAAACCAGACATTTTGTAGAAATTATTGAGCGTCAATTGCTGCCCTTAAACTTTCTTCACGCCCATCAAGACATAATTCAGTATCATCTGCATACTGTCCAATTTTATGTTCAGTGTTATTCAATGTAATTCCTTTCATTGGACTGTTGTTATGGATCATTATTCCTACAATTTCAGCCACTAAGAGGAATATATGGGGAGAAACTGGATCCCCTGTGATAAATGACTATTCTGTATAACACATGATGTAGCATTATTGATTAATATTTTGATCCATGTTTCCATATTGGGCCCAAAGCCAAACTTTCCAATTGTTAAATTATAAATTCTTTAGAGACAGTGTCAAAAGCTTTTTCAAAATCAATAAGTAACAAGAGTCCCTTTTCACCTTGTAATTTTGCTTCAAACATAATGTCGTATTATAATCTAATGTTCTCACTGATACACCTTCCAGGTATAAAACCTGTCTGAGTTTCATGAATAAGTGTATTCAATGTTGTTTTAATTATATTGGCTGTACATGTGCTGAGTATTTTATACATAGAATTCAGTGGGGTAACTGGGCGCCAGTTTTTTAACAACTGTCTATTTTTGTTAGCTTTTGGAATACATGTGATGACGCCTCTGTTTATTGTTGGACTTAACATATTTTACCTGAATGTTTCTGATATATATCTACAAACCCAAATATGAAAATCTTTCCTGAAAAATTAAAACAATTCTATTGGGAAACCACCTACTCCTGGGCTTTTGTTATTGTTCATTGATTTAACCGCTTGTGTTATTTCATCTATAGTAATATCACCCTCAAGATTTTCAGCATGTATAGTATTCAGTTTGGGTGTAATAATATCATCAAATATATTAACTCTTTCAACACAAGTCAACAGAGGCATTTACTGCCATGACACCGAGTTCCCAGAGACTCTAAGGTCACAGATGAACCCTATGTTTATGAAGGAAATTATAAGCTTGTAAAACGTTAATACTACTACATCTCATACACCATTTAAAAGATCTAATCCTAGTGTTGATATGTATGAAGCGATTTTATTGGATAAAGATTGGTTACTAATGACGCTTTTTCCATTCGTCACCACTCGCCCCTTTCCGTAACCTGCAAGAAGACTCGTCCCCCTCTCGATATGTGCGAAAATACGACAAACCAATCAAAACGTGCGTAAATGACCACGGTGCTTTGATAAATATAATCCAGAGTACTTAAATCGTTTGTGGCATTATTCCATTGTTAAAAAATCGCGATTGACGGTGAGAGATTCAAACAAACGCACGTGCGTTTGTTAACATAACGGCTCTCATGGGTCCAACTGAGTGTATTTCTGACGATCTTGCGGGCTTGTTATGGAGATTGTACGTGCGCTTCCAACAATTTTAGGAAATGTAATTATGAATCGCTACGAGTTTCAAAACAATAATATTATATTTGTATGTAACTAATCAACTTTAATCTCAAACATTGGGCTTATATTTCACATCTTTGGGGATATTTTAGTCTGACTTTTGTTTTGGTCATTCATATTTCTTTTCAGCGAATTCATTTAAAATTCCACCAGGAGTGTGACAGCAAGATTACACGAATGTTCAGTTTGAGAAATATTTTAAAGTCATTCTTGAGTATGTGCTTTGGGATTTAATGTAGCTGAATTTTTAAAACTTTTATTGGCATATTCAATAAAACAATTCCCATTTGTGATTAGTAAACCCTAATTGGAAATATAAGGTTAACAGCTGGTAATAATTACATTAGAATATGTCTTTTACAAATATGTTTATCTCCTTCCTTTAGTTGTATCAGTTCTTTAAAATAAATATGTAAACAAACCCCCAAAACAACAACCTAGCAATACAATGTACATGTGCTTCGGTGATAATTAAGAAACACTGGAATCAAACAGGGATAGAGTTATCGTTCTTGTTTAAAGTTGTTCTGATGTTCATGCGCCAATATGAACTCCTTTCAGAGGGGCACGAGTCGCTATTCGGCTTGTCCCGGAATAACACGAGTTGGTCACGAATGCGCTTTTTCGTCACAGTCTGCTATAAGGGTCATGATTGGACAAAATCAGACACGTGACCTAAGGCAGCCAATCATATTACGGCAATGGATACCGTTCTCGTAAACGAAAACTTTTAGATTTAGACGAAAGTTTTGGGTAAACTATTCTGAACATATTAAGCAAGAAATCGCTACATATACGTAATTATTGAACTTATTTGACGTATCGTGCTAGGTTATGACCTGTGACAAAAATGCTTCATGCATATATTTTCGCATTAAACATCGTGTCCGAGCGTGAAGATTGAAGCGGGGAAAGCCGAGATGTCACTTGTCAGTGACTTGACTTACATTACATGATCGCACAAAAAGATGGAAATAGTAATTTTAGTGTACGATTGACAACTTTAATGAATGCTGTTGTTGATTTTATTCATTGGTTTATTCAATTTATTTAATGATTTCCTCGAAACATCGTTACTTTGCTCTTTGACAATGATATTGTGGATCCGCTGCCGAAGCATGTGTCCGAGAATCGTTGTTTTCAATAACATTGCGAAAAATAGTTGATAATTTTAATTCTGCCGATAATATTTAATCAATTGCAATTTAATGAGTATTTTCAAACCTTGTGAAATGTGATAGAATTAATGTATGAATCATAAGTCAGGTAGGTTTATAAAATTATGTCTCATTTTGACGTGACTACTGCCTGGCCGATTAATCGGCCTCCGATGTCTGGGGACTCATAACGTTGTGGCCGATTATTCGGCCTGCGGTGTTGAATGGGTTAATATAATCATCTGTTATTTTACCACCTGATGAGTATAGATTTTCATAAAATTGTCTTTGTTAATTTAATATATCCGTACCATCTGATAGAACTTCCCCTTTGTCATTGATGACACTATTCTAAAGCTTACAGGTATAATTTCTATTTTCGAGATGACAGAAATAGTTGGTTGGTTTTTCTCCTTCCTCATACCACTGAATTCTATTTCTTATCTGTATACCTCTTATTTCATCTTCTTTTAATTTTTCAAATTCTAATTTACATTTGGATAGTTCAGAAAGTTTAGGTTCACATATGGTTTGGAAATTTTCTCTGATTTCTTCTTCCATTGCCAAAATATTTTCTTCTAAATTTTTGCTTTTTTCAGTTTTGATTTTTTTGAAGTAAGAAGAGAATGATATTGTTTCCCCCTTACTTTCATTAAAATGTTTCTAAAAACAAAGTGTCACTTATATTAAGTTGTAGTTTAGAATCTTCAATATCACCTAGTTCATCCTCAGTGCAGTTACAGTATTCTAATTTTGTTTCAAAAAGCATATCCTTGACTATATTTACATATTCTTGGTTATCAAGTTATGATGTATTTAGTTTCCAGTCTCCACCACCCCGTTCCTTATTAAGTTGATGAGAAAAAGACACGGTAATTGCTGAATGATCAGATTTATATCCTGGAAGTATTGAACAGTCCGTTGTTATGTTTGCTAAATCTTGAGAAACTAAAAAGAAATCAAGTCTGGACTGTTGTTTAGGGTTTCTTTTCCACCAAGTATGATTTGACAGACATGTGGAGGGAGAGAAATTGTGATGTAAAGAAATACAAATGGTGGAACTATTGTTTACGTGAGGACTCAATCTTTCAGATTTATTATTCCGTATCCTCTGATATCCTTCTGTTATCTGACTAGAATGTTGCTGAGTGTAGTGTTTGAGAATAAATGAGAATATGCCGAACGAATGAATCACTCGTAAAATCTATTATGTTGTGCTGTTATGTACTGTTGACTGGTGGTTCATCTGTGATGCGCAGTATACCAACCAATCACACTGTAAATGATCTCTGTGGGTGACATATGTCAATGAGTAGTTTGTAGGCGCATGATCAGATGTGAATCACTGACAACCATGACGTTTGATATCATTCTGACTGAAAATTATGATTTTGTTGAATCTGGGATTCAAACCCATTGTACCCCAACATAGGTACAATGTGTGAAGCCCATTTCTGGTGTAGACCGCCGTGATATTGCTGGAATATTCCTTAAAGCGGCGTAAAACTAGACTCCATGACACACGTGCTCGTTAGGAGATGCTTGAGCCGGCTCAATATGGATCGCATTGTCAATCTCTCCATATTTATTGACCGCCATGATAGAACTGGAGAACTGATGACTGCGTCGTAAAAAAACAACATTATCTAAAACGTTCGAATGATAGGGGCATCAAATGTATTTGAAGGTAACACTCAATCGTATTTCCATGACTTCCCTCCTCCCCCCCTTCCTTTCCCCCGCCTCTGTGTTTGGGTAAGCCTTGCTCCAAGGCTGTACTGAATGATGAACCCACGGACGTATAGTAATTCTATCCTTCAAAGAGGCAAGTCTAGATAAGCGGACAGTAAAGACCTCAGTCTGCAATTTATTATTTTGTTAGACATTATCATTTAAACTATTAATGTTTACCTTAGAGACTTGTGCAAGTGTATGTTTCACATGGGTTTGTTAGGACATTACGTGAAGTGACTGAATG